AGATGGGTTTTGCAGACCGCTCTCTGAACCAGCGTCTGCTAAAGAAACACAACTACAGCCTGCTGGACGTGGTCAACGAGCTCGTTCAGATGACCGACAATGACTGGTACTCTACACGCTACTGATGACGAGGAGGCCAAACTCGTCCTCCTTCTTTTCAGCTCTCCACTAATTTGCCCTTTTGGACCGAGGACTATACTACGAGCTTGTCAGGGAACATTCCAGCAGCCCTGGATCCTCCAGCGGACCATCACCCACCCACTGTCTGTAGTTTTAGTACTTTCAGCGTAGATCTTGGTAGTTGCAGGTTTTCTTTGCATATCTGTCTAATAAAGGTGAAAACAGGAATTCTAGGTCTTCAGATGTGAATCACACCACGTGCTAACATCATGGATTTTAACGAAGTGTGAAGCATGAAAGCATTCGCTTCCATCAAACCTGAGCTAAAGTTGTGTTGGCTGCAGAAACTCCACGGTTGCTGTACCTGCTCCTGTTGGTTGCAGGGACCCCAAAAAGCTACCGACGGCACCCTCACGCGTTTCCTTTGCTCAAGTCCACAGCAGCAGACTCTCACAGGTCGCCTACGGAACCCGCTCGCTCAGAACATCTTTGGGCAAAAAGAAAATGCAGCTTCGTGCTGATGGTCCTGCTGAGGCATCAAGTCATCTCATCTCCTCAGAGTCTTGTTCGCCTCGTCCAGTCGGCTCCATCACACCAGCTGGTGGTGCATGTTTCTGCGTATTGTGGTGAAAACTGTAACAACCAGCTCGACTGGTAGTGAGCTGATGCTGTTCATTGTTTGCAAATTTCCTTTGGTTAGATATCATCGGCCTGTGTCCCAGAGCAGGCCCACACAGCTCGTCTGCACAGTGTCAGCTGCAGCTTTGCTTCTTTCTGTTTGATTTGAGCTGCCGTTCCAACAGCTACTAAGAACTTTATTATCGGGTTGTAAATAATCACACTGACTGTAGGAAAGCAGAACTGGTCAGGTGACGTAGTGTGTGTGAGGCTTTACTGTATAAAATCTGACCCTTTGGTGTTTCCAGAGCTCCAGCTGGAGGAGCAGGACTGCTGCGACACATTCGTGTTGATGTGACTTGTGATGATGAATGCAATGAAGTACTTTGATGTTTAAATAGCCGTGCTATTCAAAACACACATTCCTCCTGTTTTGAGTCGGTTTCCCAGAACTCGCACACGTGCTCAGCCCAGATCATCGAGTGACGCTCTTCATGCTGGTAACGACGTGTGTGATGAGCTTCTTGCAGCGTGCTGTTTTGGTTGCACGCTGCATTTGTCCTGTAACTTTAGTCCATCACTGAAACTAAAGGCATTTTCTCATATACACTAAATACAACATGTGTGCATAACCTGTTTTAGAGAAGTCACTGGAAACCACTCAGTGTAGCTGAAACTGAGCCGGACTGTTAGCTGGTGTGTGATTTACTGCTGTTGTGAGTCAGTGGTGGTGAACAGACTACACTGTCCCACTGCATGATGGTTAACTAGCTAATCAACCAGGTTTGTTCAGCACTCAGAGCTGCAAGCTCGCAGAGAACCACAGTTTACCCCGAGCTGCTGTGGAAACGCACCAGTTCCTCTGCATAGATCGTAGCTAAACATGAGCAGCAGCCTACGTTCTTCCTTTCCTGTCCTCTGCGCGTCCCATCTTCTTATTTCCTACCCATGTTTACATGCTTCTGCTGTTTTGAATGGAGACGCAGTTTCGTGGCTTTAGACGAAGTTCATTATCAGCTGTTTGCTTTCAGTTCTCCCATCAGATGAAGGATTTAAGATGGGCGCACGGCGAGCACACGACGTGCTTGCCTGTTCGGTTTGTGGTACGTCTGCTCCGGATCAGCTGAGGGGGTGATGGCGACTTGATTTCAGCATTAAGGTTTGGTAACTATAGTAACACCTTTGGAAACGGATTTCCCTCCATCCACTAGAGAAAGTTCCAAAGAGGTGTGCGGGTCACGAGGGGCTCGTTGCCACGCTTGTTGTGAATCCCGGGCACACGTGGTGCTCCAGACGTTGGCGGGCTTGGTCAGGTGTGCGCAGTAAGGTCGCTGCTCCTTCCTTTTGCTCGTAGCTGGACCCTGAGCTGACTTCATTAGTAAAGTAGTGGGCTGTGAGTTTAGGTTCTGCTTTGACTGCTTGAAGGCTGTTTGTAAGTTTGACGTGGTGTCTTTAGGTGTGCTAGTTAAAGCTGCTCTGCAGTTTTAGTCTCATACTTTGTAATAACGGGTGTTTTGTTGGTGTGGTGCGATACGCTGCGTGCTACTATGCTTTATGCCGTTACACATCCACGTAACCTCATGTCACATGGTACCCTGTCTGTGTCGGTCTGCACTGGTGTGTGGTTGATGGGACTGGTATGCAACATGTCTGTGCAGAAAGCAACAGTGTGGGTGGAGCCTGAGGCAGACGTGCAGGTCACATGCTGGGTGGTTGAAACGATTTAAAGAACAGCATGAGCTCTGTGTTCGTTATAGCTTTTGTCTTTCCTGCAGCTGCCTGAAGGACCAGCCACGGCTGCAGAGGTACAGCCCCCACACTGGGCCACGTTTTTGACTCACAGCTCCGGACATCTCACACGGATGTTTAGGTTTTTAAAAGCGGCATTCATCAGTTTTAGGCATTATTTCTTTTATATTAGCGTTTCATAAATCATGCTGTCGGGTTTCACCCTCTCGGATAGGTAATTAATTTGAAAGGTAAGAATAAAAGTGTCCTGCCACAGGTTCAGTGCGGCCTGCTTCAAATGAAGCTCAGGCGTGTGCCGTGTGTCATCGTGCTGAAATGAGTCGTCATGTGTGCCAGAAGCTGTGGTTGGATGAAATCTGTTCAAATTGGGGAAGATGTATTTATGGAGGAAGAAAAACGGGGGATGGCTCGAGCTTTTTTCTGTGTTGCACTTTATGAATATTGTATGATGTACAAATCAATATGTCTCCAATTAAATGCATTACACCCACCTGAGGCTTCGTGTGTTTGTTAGAAGTGCAACTAAAAAGGTCACGATGTCACCTTTAAAGGAAGCAACAAACATGCTAGATGAATGTCATCATATATGTTTCACAGTGTCAAAGGTGGGACTGTTGAGCGTCTTTCATTGTACCTCCTTTTTAAACAGGAAGTGACCTCTGACAGGCGGGTTGGAGGACAGCAGTGGTTTAGGCTGAGGAGAGTTTGGATCTCACGTCCATCAGAGGTGGAGCAGGAACAGTGCTGCTGGTAGCATCAAATACTACTCTGGGATTATTCTGATTAGGATTTTTTAATTCTGTTGAAATAAGATCTTGACTTTCACGGCCTCATAAAAGTGGGAAAGTTCTCTATGGACAGCCAAACCCTTACAGCCGCCTTTCATTAGGAACATCGCTTATTTAACCAGGGGAGCCAGAAGCAGCAGGAGCAACCGCAGCAGTGCTCACTGAAAGCATGTACTCAGCTTTGTCATCAGGTAAGGCTAGATGCTGGAGAAGAGCATGTCCTGCAGTGTGAGTAGTGCCACATACGTGTTAAACAAAGCTGTTCATGAATCATTGAGTTAAAGTCTCTGTGATGGTCCTACCTGACAGTCAACGATGCACAAAGCTGAGGCTTTATTCGAATACTAGAACAGGGCTGAGTTTTCCCAATTTTAGGAATAATCCTCTTCATTAGACATAAACATCTTTTTATGCAGCCACATGATGCACACAATGTTCTGGAAACTGGGAGATTTTGTTCTCACGCTGCCACGTTTCACTGATAAACAGAACAAGTCATCTCAAATAAACTAATTGTTCATTAGACACTAAAACGGACTCCACGTGGGCACACCCACTCCGGCCTGAGTGGTAAGTGGACTGCACTTTTATCTATGCTTAAGCAATTTCTTTCACAACACGCACTGTGATGGAGGCAGCTACGGTTCAGGAGCCTGGAGGAGTCACAGATCAGACCACTGACCAAGCCCACCACCTGAGACACAGCTGCCCCTAAGTGTGGGCTCCACCCTGCCCATACCTACCCACTGTGGGCAAGCGTGGGCCAGTAAACGTGTGTGTGTGTGTGAAGAAAATGAAGCCACAGAACATGTTTTCACCACACTGAAAAACTTTACTGCTGAAGAACTCAACAACTGAATCAGACCTACTGACAGAGTTTTAACAGGATCTGTTTGCGTGGTTGAACGACTCCATAATGTAGCATTCACACATCAGGTAACAAATCAAAGATCCCCAGCTGACAGGAGACGCACATCCCTGGAGCTTTGTCGGGAACAGCAAACCTGCGGCGACCCAGTCTGAGGCTACGTCCACACGTACACGGGTATTTTTGAAAACGGAGATTTTCCGTTTTCGTTTTAAAAAATAATCCCGTCCACACATAAAGGCAGAAATGAAGGAAAACGCTGCTATGAACATGCCAAAGCAGCAGGTGGCGCTAGATTCCTAACCGTGCCGACATGTTGGCCAATCAGAAGTCTAGAAGAAAAAGTAAACAAAGCTGGAAGCAGAACCGAGTCGTATGTGTGGAGGGACAGTAACTGTGTGTGTGAGCATTTAAACACTGCAGAGAGTAGAAGTAACAGTATTGTAGAAATTCATTTCACCGAAACAATAACGTGGCGCACAGTGTGACGTCAAAAATGCGCACACCTTTGACGCTGCGTTTTCTGCATTTTTCTGTCCACACGTAAACGCAAAAACGGAGTTTTTAGAAATCTCCGTTTTCAGTGACCGAAAACGCCGTTTACGTGTGGACGAAAGGTGCAAACGCATAGAAAAATCTGCGTTTTCAAACATACCCGGGTACGTGTGGACGCAGCCTGAATAAGGGAGCAACCAAAGTCCGAGCTTGACCCTATAGAAAGTATTTACTGTGCTTAACGCCAGATTTATACCAGCAAACCAGCTGAAATGAGTTCTGCCAAAGCCAGAAGCGCACCGACACCTTTATTATGGCCCAGTGATCAGTACGTTTGACTAACAGCGTCCAGTGACGAAGACATGGATACGAAGCCAAAGGTGAGCAGTAGTGACGAAGAGCACTTCCTCTCACAGACTCCGCTCCGAATGAAAACACAGGAAGTGACCTGTCCGCTCACACAGGATGTCCCAGCTTCTGGGATAAAAAGAACCGTAAGAGGAAGACAACAGGCCACATAACGAGTGCAGCCAGCTGCTACAGGAAGTGTTTACGTGCGGGTCAGCGGCGTGACCGACCATTAGCCAACCGAGGCTCAGGTGCAGCAGGAATGCGCATACAGACACGGGCTGCTTCATAACAGAGACCCACGGCGGCCAGGTACGTCCCGAGCCCGGCGCTGTCGCGGGCAGGAGGGGTAGAAGCTGGGAACGGCGGCTGCTGTTTGTAATGTAGCAGCGGCCCCGCAGCTGGAGGCGTCTCGGTCACACGTCAGGCATTCACCGAGTGTTCAGATGTTAAGAATGGACGTTTTCACGGAGCGCTCATAGACGTTAGAGACACGCGTTCAAACCTGTCACAGCAACGCTTTAATGAACACGTTTAAACACGTCTGTCACTGAGGACACCGCGCAGTAACACTTTATTCACGGAGCTTTGAGCGGAAAACTACTGACGGACGCAGTCACACATCCACGTGACCCAGTCTGATTCACGTGACCCACTCACATCTTTTTTCAGGCCTCGAGCCTCCGGGCCTGGCACATCCAGATCACTGGTCCCATCTTCCACAGCATGAGTGGTTTTTCCTTATAATTCAGAAAATGATTGAAACTGTTGAATTTCACATGCACAGTCCAGCTACTACGGGAGTGTCACAGATGGAAAATCTGCCAGCTGCACCCAACGCACCCACTACATCAGGGGTGGGGACCTCCAGGCCTCGAGAGCCGGTGTCCTGCAGGTGTTAGATCTCACCCTGGGTCAGCACACCTGAATCACATGAGTTCATTACCAGGCCTCTGGAGAACGTTGAGGAGGTCATTTATCCATTTAAATCAGCCGTGTTGGATCAAGGACACATCTAAAACCTGCAGGACAGCGGCCCTCGAGGCCTGGAGTTGGACACCTGTGCACTACATGAACAAACGAGAAATCTAAATCCCATCAGTGCACAGATCTCCTGTGGATGTAGGCGTCCTCACATCCGTCTGTCTCTCCATGTAATCCCAGACACACTCGATGTTGAGGTCAGGGCTCTGTGGGGCCGGACCACCACCTCAGTTCTTGTTCGCTGTGTTTGGGCTCGTTGTCCTGCTGTGGTGTACGTTTGGGGCCAAAAAACAGTCATTTGTTTCTGAAAGCATTCTTTGTTTACAGCATGTTTACACGCCTGCCTAAAACCTTTGCACAGTGCTGCGTGTGTGTGTGTGTGTG